ACACACACACACACACACACTCCCTCACTCACTCACACACACTCTCTCTCACACACAAACACACATCTGACACTCACACACACACACACAGACAGAGACACTCTCTCACACTCACACATACACACACGCACACACACACTCTCACACTCACTCACACACACACACACACACACAACATGGACACACACACACACACACACACACACACACATCCTGATTCTGACGAAAAGCTTATCAATTACAGAAATCAAAAATAAGCTGGATATTTTTGTGTTTTACCCTACGTAAAACGGCTAAAAGTGTCAAATAAGGCTAATATGCTGTGCTTTGACTGGCTCACTGTTCTGAACTGCTGGATAATCTCTCTATGTGTAAGTATGCGTAAATATGAGCATGAGAAAGAATGTCCAGTCACATGAATAAAATCTCCTTCGTCTTACCTCTGCATCAGGAATGAAGTCATCAGTAGCAATAATGTATAAAACAGAAAATACAGAACAAACAGATTTGCCACATGAAAATAATTAACTTTAAATATAATATAATAAATGAAAAATCACAAATACAAACTCAGATTTCCAAAAAGCGATATGTTACCGTTTTAAAAGCAACAACTAGAGTTATATAGAGGCAAACTTGCCAGTGTCTGACAAAATGTTTCAAAATTAATGACAGCAAATTGCAGATATGGGAAATTAGAAATGTCATGCAATGTGAGAGTGATGTAGTTATGAATATCAGCAACACGCATGGAGTCAGGCAGTTATTTTCCTCAACATGGATTAGCTCTTATTTCTCACTGTTGTTTTCAGGACTTCTACATGTTGCAATAATACTTGAATTATATACTAAATGTATCATGATCTGATGAACAATCTTTCAAACTGATTCATATTATGATCTCAAACAGTTAAATGTGGCCAGGAATGACCTCCAGAACTGAAAAAAAAAAAAACAATGGTGTTTTTTACTCAGAAGTTGGTAATAAATGTCACAATAAATGACAAATAAACAGCAAATTCTGAAGTAGAAAGACTGAAATTGTGTTTTCGTGGAAAATGTACTGCAATAATCAATTGCTTTTCTTGCAACTTTGAAGGAAACATTTTTTCTACAGTGCTGACAGCTCTGTATTTGGTCTGATTTCGAAATCTCAGCCGTACGGCCTTTTCTGGCAGTGGCCTGAGCTGTGAATTCTTCTGTTTTAAGCGTAGCAGGTTGAGTTTAGCATTAGCGCTGATGTAAGTGAGCAGTGAAGCGTCTGCACATAATGCTCACATTCACAGAGCTGGATGAAGGAGGGATTGTGTGAGTGTGCTGATGTGTGTGAAGAAGGAAAAGATACTGCTCTTACTGTCTCACAATGACCAAACCTGTTCTCACAGTTCGTTCATCTACCTGTGCCTGGTTTGCTCGAAATCTGTTTGTCCCATAACTGTAACAGAATATTATAGCAGCATGTTAGCATATTACAGTAATATCTGATATTATTATTACTATGGCATTATATAGACATTAAAAAGTTTGTTGAAGTTCACCTCACTAGAGATCCAAGCAGCAAAGTTTCTGCTTCATAGTCTTCATAATTTATTTGTAGTTGGTTATACTTAGCAGGATCCTGCTTGGAGCCTTATTTTACGAAAAGTTACCAGAATTTAAATTTATCAAATGTGACCCTGGAGCACAAAAGCAGTCGCTGGGGTATATTTGTAGCAATAGCCAACATACGGTCAAACATATGGGTCAAAATGATAGATTTTTCTTTTATGTCCAAAATCATTAGGATATTAAGTAAACAAGAAGATATTTAGTAAATTTCCTACCGTAAATATATCAAAGCTTAATTTTTGATTAGTAATATGCATTGCTAAGAACTTAATTTGGACAACTTTAAAGATGATTTTCTCAATATTTAGATTTTTTTTGCACCCTCAGATTCCAGATTTTCAAATAGTTGTATCTCGGTCAAATATTGTCCTATACTAACAAACCATACATCATTGGAAAGCTTATTTATTCAGCTTTCAGATTATGTATACATCTCAATTTCGAAAAATTGACGCTTATGACTGGTTTTGTGGTCCATGGTCACATATAGTTTCTAAGACATAAGTCAAAATGTGACTCATGATGAATAACTGATTTATATTTCCTGACCACAAAGTCTTTATATTAAACATTTATTCTGATGATCTCTAATTAAGACAAGTTCTAACCACTTTATCTCGGCAACCATTTGATCAAGGAAGTTGAAATTTAGCATTTATGTACGTTTTACATATTTGATAAATACATGCAGGATGTCTAGTATGGTGTCTACAAGCTGTATAATGAATGAATTTACGTAGGTGTTTTGTACAGACTCTGCTGTCGTCTTGTACTATTTTATTAATATGTTTATGTGTGGTTGTGCTGCCTGTATGATTTCTTCCCTCAGATTTATTGCTTCTGCTTGTATTGTTCTCATTCAAAAGGCACTTTGGATATAAACATCTGCTAAATGAAAAAATTTATATGTACTATAACTAACAATGTTAGCACTGTTAGTGGTATTTTAAATGTTTTATAATTACAAGTTTATATTACTTGTGTAGACATATTGGGTTGACCCTAACACCATCACTCCACCATGAACTATTTTCAACAATGACAAATGTGACACACAGGTATATTTGTAGTAGCAATAGCCAATATTTTATGCCAAAAATCATTAGGATATTAAGTAAAGATCATGTTCCATGAAGATATTTTGTAAATTTCCTACTGTAAATATATCAAAACTTAAGGACATAATTTGGCCAACTTTAAAGGCAATTTTCTCAATATACTTCCCTGACACAATGTCTTTCCATTTCCTACAGGCTCTTCTCATCAGAACCACTGGGGTTACCATGGTAAATATATACATATACTGTAACCACCCACAATGACTTTTAACTCAGAGTTTTACATACAGTTTTGTATCTAACTCACACTTATTAGTGGATCATAGCAGACATTTCTAGCACAGTCTTAGTTACTTTCATCACCTAGTAATACTGCCATATAATACTGTGAGTGAAGGGAAACATTATTTATTTGATTTGTAGCACTTATTTCATTAGATTAGAAAGTAGAGTAAATATTTTGTACATTTAATAATAATAATGCAATCAGATTCACTGATTAAAATCCAATTCAAATAAGGTCAACATGGAATCATTCTACTAGTAAGTGACATTGACATGTGCTTAATACAAATAAATAAACAGTAGATAAAAAAATCTGAATATTGAAACAGTGTGTTATAACATACTGATCTAGAAGGTGAAACATGGTACAATAAACCAGTGTAAAACTAGTGATTCAGAGACTCACTCATAAACGGTAACATTCTTTTGTTCCCGTGTGAAACTGTATGTGATGAAATGTATTGAGTAAATGATTCAGTCATGATACAGTCACTCATACAAAAAGTCACTTTTTATACTAACTGCTAAAGGACCAAAAGCTAAACATTTTAAATGTAATCAGACATTATAAATAAAATGAAATGATTTTAATATAAATATATTAAACAAATATTCTAAAACAAATACAACTGAAAACAATATATAAAAACCTCTTAAAAAAAATGTTCAGAAAGATTAGTTTAGTTTGCACATATTTTTACTCTGCGTGAGTTTATTGCTTTATTGCGACGTCAGTATCAGTTCTTGTGAAACACCTTTGACAGTCTGTGTTTCCATCATGAACACCCCAAAGACTCAAAGCTTTCCAATCTCTTATTGTATTGTGAGTATTTTAACCGAGGTCTTAGCAATTCATGCTATGCAACAATGTCCTGAAGCTTTATCGGTAACACTTTATAATAAAGGCAAATAAATAATCACGTATTAATACCTAAATGAAATATCGGTTAACTAATGATGAGCTAAATCAAGAACTAACCTATAATACATGAGTCATATAAATTCATGTGTGAAAAACAACAACTTTAACTACGTGTTTGTTAGTTAATGTGTTAATTACACTTTGAGGTTGACATTGGCATTCACATAAACTAACATGCATTAGTAAATGATTATTCATGTACTGTTATTGTAAAGTGTTTCTACTTGTGGTATTACTAGTGCTTTTTTATGTTTATTATAATGCATTGTTATCAGGCTCTGAAAAATGGCCTTGGATTTTAGAAAGGCACTATACAAATAAAACTTGTTGCGTAAAAATGTCATCAGTTAACTTTTAAATAAACTGGTATTGTTAAGGCTGTTGCATGTCAATGATTTCTTTGTCTCGGTCAGATCAGGACGCGTGGTTATCTGTGTTTGAACACTGTAGTGGAAAAGCTCAGTCTCCAATCAACATAGACACTCATAAGGTTTTCTAGAAATAAACTGGTATTGTTAAGGCTGTTGCATGTCAATGATTTCTTTGTCTCGGTCAGATCAGGATGCGTGGTTATCTGCGTTTGAACACTGTAGTGGAAAAGCTCAGTCTCCAATCAACATAGACACTCATAAGGTTTTCTATGAGCCCAATCTGCCTCCCATTAAACTGGAGGGTTATGATCTCGCCGGCTCTCCCGCTCTTACCCTCATCAACAACGGACACACATGTGAGTCGAGGCCCTTTCACACCAAACACAAGATCATCTTACACAAGACTCGTATTGAACTGTTCACACCACAGCAGCAAATGACTCTAGTTCGACTGTCAGTATGTCAGTGACATGTGACAGTGTTATTACATATTTGTGAAATACAAATAAAAAAAACAAGGACGATTCCAGTTTTGTGTATTTTGATGATTAAAGAGGAGACTATTGTTAGTTGGCACAGGTCTTCTTTTTTGTTAAATCTCTCCCGTGGAACAAACATTAAGATAATGAAACAGCATGTTAAGTATACAATGCTTTAAGTAACACTTTAATTTAAGGACCAGTTCTCACTATTAACTGGTTGCTTATTAGCATGCATATTACTAGCAGATTGGCAGTTTATAGTACTTATGAAGTACATTAATGCCATATTTTAGATCCCTTAATCCAACCCATAATTTAACAACTACCTTACTAACTATTAATAAGCAGCAAATTCGTTTTTTGATGCAAAGGTAATAGTTAATAGTTAATAGTGAGAGTAGGTCCCCAAACGAAAGTATGACCTTCTTTCATGCTGTTGCTTTTCAACAAACAAGACGGTAAAATTGACTAATTAAAATTTTAGACAGAATATTGCCAGCTACTTTGTGTATTTTTGCTTCACCAAAAATAATTGTTAAAAATGAGGTCAAAACAGAATCAATCATTGTATCTTTGAGCAATAGCGGTGTTTTATTTCTTAATGAATAGGTTTTTTGAAAGAATCAGTTGAGTGAGTGATTCAATGACTTAATCATGTTTCATTCTTGTAGGAATGAGTGTATTTCATCAAATTTATTGAGTAAATGATTGTAAAAAAAAAATAAAAAAATAAAATCATGCATGCAGAAAGCCAGTTTTGTACTTTAACTGATAAAATGACCATAAAATGAAAGAGTGGCTTTAAACAATGCTTAAAATACAAATACAGTTTATGGACTTTATTTACCATTTGTTTTTGTTGCTGACTTAAATTACATAATTACATGACCTTACTTTAATTTCAGAAATGAAAAGCTATCTGAATGCATGTTGTTTCTGTTCTTGCGTCAGTGCAGCTGAGTCTGCCGAGCAGCATGCGTATCATGAGGGGATGCGATCACGTTTACGTCGCAGCCCAGCTTCACTTCCACTGGGGAACTACAGAGGTCCCTGGCTCAGAGCACACCATAGATCATGTCCATTTCCCTGCTGAGGTGAGCTGAGATGAAGAAACACACGGTTTAATGGTCTCTCTATACAGCCACCCATTCAGAGATCATGTTGTTGGGCCCAGTCTTTCTGGAACATGAGTGATTATAAAAACTGCATGATGTGTGACATATTGCATAAACACTTGCTACCGCAGTTTCCTCATTCCTCAGATCCACGTGGTTCATTATAACTCCAGATATGCAAATCTCGCTGAGGCTGCTAGTAAAGCGGATGGGTTGGCAGTGTTAGGAGGATTCATAGGTGTAAGTCTTTCAACTACAACCTTCTGGCTGCAGTAAAGTTTTCCAAGTAAAAGAATATGGTTTGTATGGAAGCCCGTTTCCGCCACTGAATAAAAAAAAAAAAAAAGGTAGCCTAATTGCGACTTTTTATCTCGCAATTATGACTCTCAGAACTGCGTGATGTAAACTCGCAATTGCGAGACATAAAGTCGCCATTCAGAGATTCAGAGAAATGAAATCAGAACTGCGAGATATAAACTCACTATTCTGACTTTATAACTCACTATTCTGACTTTATAACTCACTATTCTGACTTTATAACTCACTATTCTGACTTTATAACTCACTATTCTGACTTTATAACTCACTATTCTGACTTTATAACTCACTATTCTGACTTTATAACTCACTATTCTGACTTTATAACTCACTATTCGCAATTCTGAGAACATATCAGTCATTCCCCCTCTCCAAAATTGGACTTTAACTCGCAATTGCGAGAAAAAAAAGTCAGAATTGCGATTATAAAAAGTCGCAATAACCTTTTTTTTTTATTTTTTATTCAGTGGCGGAAACGGGCTTCCATACGGTTTGATCACTCCCAATAAAGTCTTTGCAATACATTTGTTAGTATTTCCTTTTGACTTTTTCCTCAATAGATTGGCCTTCATGACAATGACAACTATGAGAAGATCCTGTCTGCGTTAACAGACATCAGCATTGAGGGTAAGAAACTAATAACTGTCAACAAAGAAAACATCAAGCATAAAACACTGATGAATATCATCCAACCTGAGCTGATGGTCTTCTTTTCAGAGTCAGACACTGAGATTCCTGGTTTTAATGTGCGCCATCTACTGCCAGACAGCTTGGACAGGTTTTATAGGTACAGCGGGTCCCTCACGACCCCTCCGTGCTTTCAGACGGTCAGCTGGACTTTGTTCAACGACTCAATCAGAGTCTCAAGAAGACAGGTCAGACTATTCTCACAAGAGAGCATCACGTCATTTATAGCACTCGCGGATCTAAATCAGTCTGGTTTTTCTTTTGTTGTCGCAATAACCTTTTTTTTTAATTTTTTATTCAGTGGCGGAAACGGGCTTCCATAGGGTTTGATCACTCCCAATAAAGTCTTTGCAATACATTTGTTAGTATTTCCTTTTGACTTTTTCCTCAATAGATTGGCCTTCATGACAATGACAACTATGAGAAGATCCTGTCTGCGTTAACAGACATCAGCATTGAGGGTAAGAAACTAATAACTGTCAACAAAGAAAACATCAAGCATAAAACACTGATGAATATCATCCAACCTGAGCTGATGGTCTTCTTTTCAGAGTCAGACACTGAGATTCCTGGTTTTAATGTGCGCCATCTACTGCCAGACAGCTTGGACAGGTTTTATAGGTACAGCGGGTCCCTCACGACCCCTCCGTGCTTTCAGACGGTCAGCTGGACTTTGTTCAACGACTCAATCAGAGTCTCAAGAAGACAGGTCAGACTATTCTCACAAGAGAGCATCACGTCATTTATAGCACTCGCGGATCTAAATCAGTCTGGTTTTTCTTTTGTTAGCTAGCAGCCTTGGAGGACACATTGAAAACTGAACACAACAAGCTTTTGTCCAAAAACTTCAGAGCGCCACAACTTCTGCATGGGAGAAATGTGCTGGCATCTTTCCACACAGGATCCACTGCAAGAAGTATGTACAGTCTGTATTAGGCCTTTTAGCTCTTTAGTGTTTGAAATAATTACGATTTCAAACACATCATGGGGCCACTGTAAACTGCAGCAGGTATAAACCTGATTGTGCTCCAGTTTACAGTGGCCCCATTATGTGTTTGAAATCGTAATTATGAAAATGTCTGAATATCTTTTTACTAGAAACACAAAAAGGTTACATTATCAAATTAGGCATATGTAATCATTGTGTACATACAGTACACATTGATCTACAAAAATGTTAGCGGATGTGTACACTGTACATGGGAGATGTTTTTATTTTTTTGTTTCTAAACTATTCTAAGTATTTATATAAGTACTGATTCTAAGTTCATTTTGTACATAATTGACACAGTCTATAATTATGTATTGAGGGGCCCATTTTTTTGTTGTTTGTATGGTGGGGGGAAAAATGTTGTTTCTATTTTCCTGTATCTTTATCTTTTTATTATTATAAAGGTTCAACAATTTAACCTTTATTTAACCAGGCAAGTCAATTAAGAACAGGTTCTTATTTTTAATAACAGCCAGGCAGGAGAATTAATATCCCCTGAGAAACATACAAACATATTACAATACATAAACAGATTAAGCAAGGCGGATTGGGTTTTTAAGTTTGGCGTACGAGTTGTGTAATTATTTAGAAATTGCATGCAAGTACTTTAAAAATCGTCAGTACAATGCAACATGTATATACAATAAGTATGTAAGCAGTTAAAGACATTTGATATAAAGTGGCTCCATAACTACCGTTTTATTTTTTGAACCCAACAAACATCTAAATGTCACTTGGTTTAATATTTTGTATTTATAACAATGCCAATTACTTCAAGTTAATATTCAGTTTAACTGCACTGACACACTCGGATTTAAACTGAATAGAACCAGATAAAGACACAAACTTTGAAACACTGACACTGAATTAACTTGAGCAGAATAATGACACCATTGTCTTCTGTAGAGCAGAAAGTTAATTTGTTGTTACTGTTGAAACAACCTGTACTGTACAATCAATATGTATTAGCGTATGTATATTTTGTGTTGTGTTTTACAGTAGCCAGTGAAGCTCCACCATCTGAAACACAAGACAGCAATATAATGGAATCTAACGGTAAGAATGTATCATTTACTGTATATCTACAGCAGGATATAAAAACAGTTTATTTCAGAGGACTTCGTCTAGTGTTAAAGGGGTCATATGACGTTGCTAAAAAGAACATTATTTTGTGTATTTGGTGTAATGAAATGTGTTTATGCGGTTTAAGGTTAAAAAAACACATTATTTTCCACATAATGTACATTATTGTTTCTCCTCTATGCCCCGCCTTTCTGAAACGTGTCGATTTTTACAAAGCTCATCGGTCTGAAAAAGCGAGGTGTGCTCTGATTGGCCAGCTATCCAGTGTGTTGTGATTGGCCAAATACCTCAAGCGTGTGACGGAAATGTTACGCCCCTCACCATACTGTGATGATGCCACCAAGAGCTTGTAACACTCCAAAGAGAAAGGAACAATTGAAATCGCATCATATGACCCCTTTAAAGCTGCAGTCCGTAACTTTGTTTTCAAAATTGACAAAATTTATATAATAAGAGAGTACACCATGAATCCGTTTTCCAAACCGTGTTTTTGGCTTGTCCTGAATCACTACGGTACACCTATAATAATGTTTATATTCGGACTATTTTATACTGGTTCGGGTAGGTACCGCTGCGGAGGAGCCCAGTACCTGCGTGATTTGCCATAGACATAAACAGAGAGAAGTAGTTCCGGCTACAATGTTCTTCCGCAAGATGCACGCAGTTCTGTTTATTAACCGCTAGAGCGCCAAAAGTGCTAACATGGTTTTATTTTCCATTTTCCTTCCTTACTGAAGCTCTCTGTGTGTGACAGTAATATGAACACAATATAAACGCGTTTAAAGGTTGTTGTTTCCCCACAGGACACATTCTGGCGATTATCTTTGGGGTTCTGTTTGCCGTCACGTTGCTGATCTTCTCCGTCTACACATATGGACAGAGGAAAAAGTACTCAAAGTACGTTCATATCCATCTCTGATTCATCACCACTTAATTTGACTTAAGTTTGTACACTTTTAATTCTCTCTGCTTTCAGAAAGCAGACACACAGCACAAAAGGCTAAACATGTTTCACTTCTGCCTCTTTTTCTCTACAGGTTTAAAAAAGACTCCAAGCAAAATGTTATTTATAAACCAGCTGCCGTTGAAAAAGACATAGATCAAACCTCTGTTACTGTATCATAAACCACATATTTATTCAGAAACTTGTTTTGTCTTGTTTGTCTTCAGAGTGAGACTTTGGAATAAATTGTTTGCAAATTAGTAGAAATTGCTGCATACACTTTTGGTCCACTTTTTGTTTGCCCTTGTGTGTATGTGTCTGAATTTTAAGTACATACTTTTTTTTTTTTTTCATTTTGCTGTTTTTTTCCATTGTATTGAGGAAATTAATCATAACATATTATTCATCCACCTACAAGATGTATAATGGTTCTCTAACAGTATCTGAGCAGAACCTAGTTTACATATAGACTGTCAAACCACAGCCATTCATTTATATATTACCCAGATAGTGACCACTGCCTCTCTCTCTCCAGTCATCTGACACTAGACTTCAGAAACTATATTTTAGTCTTGACATACAATTTCAAAATTGTAAGCGTATAATGAGTTTGTGAAGCCGTGTTGTTTTCAGTCCGTGTCTCTCAGAACAGACTGTTCTTTACTGCATGTATGTATCAAACACGGTCCAGAACACTAAACATTCACACGAGGATTCCTGTCAGCACCCGCAATGTTTAAGACCATTAAACTTTGAATCTGGAAAATCCATGAGTTAACTTGTGTTATATATAAGTCATGACAGGTCATGTAAGAGGTGTGTATTTCAACACAGTTCTGTTGAAGACTGACTGTGAAGCATGCAATCCAATGCATTTGGCAGGTCAGGGGGTCAGTTCTCACATTTCAGTAAGATATTTACTAAAGGGCAGAGGTCACATGACTGAGAGCCTAAAAGCCACAAATACCGGTAACACTTTGTACATTAACGCGAGTTAATGCAATAGCTAACGGCTGAAACAGTGATTTTACAGCATTTATTTGGTTAATGTCAATTACCAAAAAATGTTTAAAAAGTAACATTAAAGGGATAGTTCTCCTACAAATGATAATTCTGTCATCATTTACTCATCCTCATATTGTTCTAAACCTGTATGAGTTTCTGTAAACACTTTAGAATAGGGACCGATTCTCACTATTAATGAGTTGCTTATTAGCATGCCTGTTATTAACATATTGGCTGTTTATTAGTGCTTATAAAGCACATATTCTTCATGACCATATTCTGCATCTCTAATCCTACACAATACCTAGACTTAACAACTACCTTACTAACTATTAATAAGCAGCAGTTAATTAAGGTAAAAGCCATAGTTAATGGTGAGAATTGAACCTTAAAGTGTGACGGAGTTTCTTTCTATTTTGGATAGTAGATATTTTGGAGAATGTTGGTAACCAGAGTTTTTTTCCATACTATGAAAGTCAATGGGAACCAGCAACTTACCCACATTCTTCAAACTATTGTTTTTTACATTCAACATAAACTCAAACAGGTTTGGAACAACTTGATGTTGAGTAAATGATAACAGAATTGCCATTTTTGGGCGAACTATCCCTTTAATCTGCTGTGCACATGATGATACCCAAGTCATTTACTAATGTTAATAAATTGGACTTTATTGTGCAATGCACCACAAATATCCTCCTAACCATATGAAAACATTAACTTATGGATTCAAATCTAGATTTATGATCCACATAAATGTGTACCGTATCTTCTAAATATTTTGCTTCCCCCAAATAACTCCACGAAAAGTCCATGAAATCATTAACAGGGTGTTTTTAATCTTTTTGTCAAATCAATTTTGCATATGAACAGTAATCTGATTCCCTGTTTGGCACATCATATTCTTAGAAACTTTATAAAGCAGCATTAAAATGTTACATAATTACAAGAAGTCCTTTTGTAATTGAAATTCAGGAAAGCACCGAGTTATTGTGTCCAATATACAGAACATGACGAGAGCTCCATCTGCACAGCTTTAACACTGCATGACAAATGTAGACCAGAAACAACTCGCATACAGACACAGAGGAGTACAGAACGCAATACATTAACACAGAAGCACACCGAACGCTAGTGGTTACTGAGGAGCTGCCAACAACATCCAGAGAAACAAACCTGAACGCTGCATCAACACAGAACCGCTGCAACACTCTTAAAAATAAAGGTGCTTCACGATGAACTTCACTGTGGTCTGTCATGTACCGTAATGAGGGTGTGCTGGATGCGTTTTAAGGCTAACAGACTGGAAAACAGGTCATGTGTAAGTAAACGCAGTGATGTTAGTGTGCTGGGTTAGGAATTAAAGCTATGTTAGTGTAACTCACTGAGAAGACAAGTGTGGATCTACATACAGCAGCATAGAGTAAGTGTCAGATAACTACAACTGTGATGACCACTCGGCCGACAGGCCCAGCACCAGCTCTGAAGCACATATGTGACCCTGGACCACAGAACCAGCCATTTTTTTGAAATTGAGATGTATACATCATCTGAAAGCTGAATAAATAAGCTTTCCATTGATGTATGGTTTGTAAATATAATTGTATTCCCAAAAATCATGTGAATTTAATATATGGGAATTTACTGCTATGAATTTTATTTGTTATATATTGCATAATATATATATATATATGACATACATTCAATATACAATACATCTGACATTTAGGCAACACTTTAGTATAGGGAACAATTCTCACTGTTTACTAGTTGCTCGTTAGCATGCCTATTATAACCATACTGGCCGTTTATTAGTACTTATAAAGCACATATTCTGTATGAGCATATTCTACCTTACTAACTATTAATAAGCAGCTAATTAAGAGTTATTGAAACAAATAGTTAATGGTTTAATAGATAACACCATAACCTGTCAATTTATTTCCAAGACAAAAAATAATGTTCTTAGAATTGAATCTTAAGTTCTCAAAAAAAAACATTTCAGAAGTTTGTAAGAATGTTCCTATGTACAGCTCTTGGAAAACAAATAAAAAAAAAACCTTTTTAAGACATTAAATATCGCATGCGATTTATCGTGCAGCCCTAGTAGTAATATATAAGAATATTAAAATTGAAGAAAAACAATTAAAGGATAAAACAGACCAAAAGTAAGTGAACAAAAACAATCAGAGTTAGGGATGTCTGCCAAAAATTATGCTCTTTAGTATCATTGAGAAATTTTAAATCAGGTTCTTACACGAGCATTATAATTATAAACATAACATTTAAAAGATAATATTTAAAAACTGAACCAATCAAGAACAAAGCATAATAAGAGATGTCCTCTTAATAATGTAATATACAGGTGTTTCCTGTAAAAGTAGAACCTAACAACATGACCTTTGTTGTCATGAAAAAAAAAAAAAAACAGCTGTCATATGTTTGTTTTTCAATGCTAGCTTCCAGATTTCATGGCCAAATCCAGAATAAAATATGAAAGTAGTGCTGTGTTTTTCACACAAATACTTTTTTGTGACTGACCTATGTCGGTGACCTACGTGATTATTAGGGTTGCAAAAAGGTGGAAAATTTCCAGTAAATTTCGGAAACATTCCAGGATTTTTAGGAATATTCCAGGGATTTTTGGAAAGTTTCCGGAAATGTACCGGAAATTTTCCACCCCTTTGCAACCCTAGTGATTATTAAATAAAACATACATCTTTCCCCAACAGCAGGACTGGTTTGTGTCATTTGCCAAGTGCTTTGTCATATGTTGACATACAAACAGCACATGTGAAAGCTGTTGGATCAGTTGATTACTCATGGCCCATGAGGCTTTGCAGGAGCTCACCTGCTGTAATGAAGTAATACTGTGAGTCTCCAAAGATGCCGACCGTCCCGGGACCCAGAGAGTCAGACAGGACGTTGATCATTGAGAACGCACCACTCATGATCCCAAAGCCCAGCCCAGCCACTGCACACGAAACACACAGACATCTGATCAAACCTGCCATCCAGTGATCCTGAGTGCAACATGAAACACAACAACAGCTGAGCACAGATTACCGTAAGCCATCTGTCGCACCGAAATAGCTGAGCCGTCATCATCACTAATGGCTGCCAGACCCTCGTTGGCCTTCCTGATGAATCAACACAAGAGTTCAAAATGAATCAGCGTTTCAAAAAACCCAAGCTTCCTCAGAATCAACTGAGAGCAGGGAAACTGCTCGAGTTTGCATTTCACAACTAAAAACCTTGGACAAAAGACATGGGAGACTTTAACAGCAGAAACTGGAAGAAGCAATAATTATTCATCATAACAGAATTAATTCCAAAATCATGGCATCTATCTGCCACTTTCATATTTTAAGGTAAGAGAGTCCAGGAAATATTATTTTTTAATGCAATGGTCAATTTTGAGATTTTTTTGTCTACTTTGCTTCCATAACATGACTAGTGAAACGAAAACATACAAAATACACATTTAAGTATTTATTTAAGTAATTTGCATCTGTAGATTTCAATTACAATTCATGTTTTTAAAGCCTGTTTTCTCAAAACTAGTTTTTTTCCTTACACAGAGGCAGAAATCTACATTTTCACAGATCTTACATACTCCAAACCTTAGTTTTATTCCTATTGATATTCTGCAGGTTTTTACAGAGGGATTTGTTAACATCATTCATGTGTTACATATAACATTTCATTCCTAAAAACATGGTGAAAATGTATTGTGTTTTTTTTTAAACTGTTGACAGTATTTTCTGACTGTTTCTCTGTATTCTGAAAAAATTAAATTAAATAAAAAAAAAAAAGAATTTTCAACTTGATTGCATCCAACCTTCAGATTTCTGTTCTGGAAAAGTATGCAAATAAGTGCCCATTTCATGAGATACTGCCTCATTTGCATATATAAAGAGTTCAGGAAACGTTCTAATGGAAACTAGACTGAAGATTTGTGGTGCTGGATTTCTTATCGTGTATGGCGCACCATAAAGAGTCTCACCTGAGCAGTCTGTAGTAGACAAAGCGAAAGACTTCCTGGAGCAGGACCGAGAAGAAGACCCCGAACATCAGCAGGCCCCTCTGAAGCCCGAGATCCTGCGAGTTACTGGCCTTTACAGCGATGAACCACACCAGAGAGGACAGGAGCAGAGACAGCAGCCAGAAAAACGCCCTGAAACAAACACATGCACTCACATTCTCCACTAACAGCGCTTCTAAAGGGCCTGCTAAATGCCATGAGCAACAACTTTAAAAGGCAGAGACACTTTACAACTACATTAATGAACACTCAAAACAGAAATGTCATGGAAATTAGGCTTATCTTAAAATATTTGAATGTTCTGTTAAACATTATATAGAGAAAGATATCTCCTTGAAGGATAACGTGTCCAGTATCTGACTGTCTCTAACAAAAAAGTACAGTATAGTGGAGCCACCAGGGTAATACTACAGTACTTTGGGATGTTCCACTGAGTAATTCATGTGTAAATCAAACAAGCTCGTCACTAGCATTATGAGGCTGACGGCGAGCTTCGATCACGTGACTCACCCTGCGATCAGAATGATGACTCGTAACGGGTCTTTGGCGACGGTGAAGACAAACAAGGAGAAAGACGGACCAAACGCTATGAAAGCACAGCCAAAAAACACTGCCAGAGTCATCCTGGATGAACGGCTTTCTCTGTGACTGTCCGAGCAGATAATGAGCAACAATAGGGCTCTAACAGAAACAGTCGAAACGTGAAAAGTAAACGCGAACAATGCTAACGTTAACTTGGTAGGAAACAGACGCAGATTTACTTAATTCTCCATAAAACAGAGAGTTTAAACCTGATATTTAAACCATTTGCAGCCGTACAATACACAGAAATCACAATATTCTTCTTACACAGACAAATAAATCTACTAAATGTAAATAAAGAATCGATCCATCTAAGCTAATAAATCCGACTATATTCGCGCGGTTTATATCGTTCTTCAGTGAGCGCTTTGTTCGGTAACATTTTCAAACTTAATCTTCAGTTTCTCTGTCCCGAATAAAAAGCAGACGCGACACTTCCGAGGGCTTTTGTTTGGTGTCAAGAAAGATCGGCTTGCGCTTCCGGGTTTACGCACTTCCGCCGCTGCGTGGCGCTGTGACAGCGGACTGTCGCTACTGAACAGGAAGCAACTGTACATAATGCAGCATGTTTTAGTGCTGTTACTCCTGGCTGATCATTATTGTGTTTAGTTAGTAACAACACTGCTATAATGCGGTCCCAGATTGATGCACTGATGATGGGGCAGTCTGCCAACACTGATTAGAGTGGTCAAAACTTCTAAACTGTTACATATGCAAACATAAAAATATGAGAAAATAAATGTAAATGTAGACCTAATATCTTGTTTAGAAGGCTATAATAAAAATGAATGAGTCAACCACGACTCTAGTGTATGGTTTATTTCTACCACTATCAAGCCACCAACACAATAGTGTTTCAGTATGCTTATATTGACAATACTATTTATAACACCAAGGCACATTATGTGTCATAAAATTCAGTTCATTTTTATTTCTTTTTTGCTTGTTGATTAAAACAATAACCACAATAATGTAGTAAAAGACATGTAAATATAAAATGTAAATGATAATTTAATGTAACAAACAGAAATGTCTGGTACAGGGAGGATTCAGACTGAAATAAGTGAGCCAGGAAAACAGATTACTGGTGTACTTTATATATTTATTTATTTTAAATAAAGAGTGTGAAGGCCCCATGAATGGTGTCAAATGCATTTAATTGGACTACATCCAAAACTCGTGGACTGTTTCACAGAGATTAGACATAGTGTTCATTTACTGTGCATACTGTACATTGATGCAGTTAATTGGCTTTTAATAACACTGCACTTCCACTCTTTCTTATGCATGTCTTGAATTTTCTGACATGACTGTGGGATACACTACATGAAGAGGTTTTATATTTAGTATGGGCTTTGTGCACTGTGTTGGTATTTTCTACAAATATAATCTGAACGTAAAATGTTTTTCTACGAGACTGGGTTGGAAACAACACATAGAAAATCTGTTTAGGTCATGTTCTTTCCGTGTCTTGGTCCCGATAGTTGTCACAGGCAGTGCAGGCCAAAAAACAAGGCCTACAGAACTTAACCTTGGTGGGATGTTGGTGCCATTGCTTGCTAATGAGGCACAAAGACTCACCTTAAATGGCCGATAGGAGGTGCTACAATAAAGGTAAGCACATTTTGGGTCACAAAACCTCAACCATACATCATGTGGTGAAACCTACTTGATGGCGAACTAGTCCAAAGCCGCTCTGCTGGTCAGAACAAAATAGTTCAGAAAGATTCTCTGGAGTCTGTTATTAATAATGCAACAGCAGAGCATGGCGCTAACAAGGCTTTGACTGATCAGATCTAGACGCTGCATGCAATACAAGTCACCTTGGATAATTAGAAAGTGCATTCAGGAAGTATTGAGACCAAATTATTATGTTGTTTCATGTATTTTATGTCGCAGCCTGTTTGCTAATACCCCATTATTGCACAAACACACAAAAAATGTAATTTATTAGAAAAGAAAAACAAATGAATGGCATTTTAAGGGGTTTTCTTACACCAAAATAACGAATAAAACAGCAGAAGCACAACAGTCTGCTTATTTCTCCTCACTAAAGCATAAACATTTGGTTTATGACCAAACTGTCTTTTAACCTGTCACCACTCGTTTGTTATTGTCAGACTTATTCAGAAGATGATTTTCCAATAAAAATTCAAAAGGCAAAATTCTGTTTTCAATATTTTAATAATTTTAATCAAATAGCTCAAACAATTGCATAGGATACATAAATGGGTGATGCATAAAAATCGCAGGAATTATTTAAAAATGTGTGCGAGGATGATCCAAATGTTATCCCTTTTATATACCAAATAAATGCAGTGTTATTTCTAGGATTTACTACATAGTGATTTGCATTAGAGGGAGTTAGACAAAGTTTTAAACGATGTAAAAAATATCTTCCCCAATTAATGGAATCCATTGCATTCTTTCACATATATAACACAGAAATAATAACATATCTCATCCAACCCCATAATTACTATCATTATTACTATTATCATCACCTGGAGTACGTGACTGTTATTCTTCACAGATTTGGTCAGATCTGTCAAACAGACAGAAGAAATGTTTGCAAACGTTTGCAGTAGTTATTATAGTCAAAAACATAAGCCATGTCTTACAGGCCCAATTTGATATAATTATCACAGATGCTTTAGTGTTGTCTACTGGAGCCATTTCACAACCTTTTAAAGCAAGGGTTTATCAGCACAAATTCATTTTGGACCCTCTTCCTTGGGAGCAGGACGTGAGATCCGCATGTCGCATTTGGAGCCACGAATTTCATTGAAAGGCCACAAGTTTGCAGCACTGCATACGGAAACATTCATATTACAATTCTGCAGGTGATATGAGACACATTAGTTACAATCACAGCTGTGCATTTTGGTACAAATCAATGAAAATGCTTAAAAAAAAAAATAGTAACCTCAAAAGTGATTTCATTGTACAAAATCTTGCTTTTAAATTGTTAGTATATGGTTTAAATCCAAAGTTGAGAATTACAGGATTTTTTTCAGTCGAGGTCAAAAAGCTATATTTGTAGTAAACAATGTTTAGAATAAATCAAATTAGGTCACAATGGATTTCTTACAAATACTACAAATCCAGGTTGATCATTTGTTTAACGTACTGCTGGCTTCGCTGCTATTGCAAGACATTGTTTGCATCGGGCTGTTTTGTTTGGAAAGAAAACGGCAAGTGTGTGACTCTAAGACATTGACTTATCAAAGCAAAGAGCTGCGTCAGGCCCCGCTGGAGAGCTTATGTGCTGCGAGACTCCGTCTTTATAAATTGTTGAGCTCCAGAAGGGTCTGGTCAAGCACTTGGTGCATGTTCAGATTCTCCTCTTTGGCCTGGGCCACTTTCTCTGGTGACGCAAGAACAAGAAGAGATTCGGTGAGACAGCCTTCATTTACAACCTCAGAAACACATAAAACGAGCAGGCAATCATAATATAAAAAAACGATAAAAATGATGGGAATGACTGTTATCTTTCTCTAAGAATCCAGATTCTTTCAAATAGAGTATATGTGACCCTGGACCACAAAACCAGTCATAAGGGTCCTTTTTTTTAAATTGAGATTTATACATCATCTGAAAGTTGAATAAATAAGCTTTCCATTGATGTATGGTTTGTTAGGATCGGACAATATTTGGCCGAGATACGACTATTTGAAAATCAACATTGCATTACTCCATGAAATGGTAACTAATTGCATTACTTAGTTACTTTGAATGGAAAGTAATGAATTACATTACTTTTGCATGACTTTTTGTCACCTGGACCGGGCTTGCTTATTTATTTATTTTTTTTAAATAACAAAAAACCCAAAAGTTATATTTTTGTCATCTGTAAAGACCCTTTTCACTAGTGAAATGAATAAGCCTCAGGCTGAAGGATGTCTTCCGTCTCGGTCTCTTGTAACTCCTGATTTCTCTCAACATGGAGACATGAGAGCTCTCAGTGAATGAATTGGAAAGCTAAAAAAGCTTGGATAACAGTATCTTTGCAGCTCAATGTTTCCATATTCATCAGCACCTTTTATATGAGTTTGTCAAGTTTTTGTTCTTCTGTCAAACCAGCTATCAACAAGAAGCCATGTTTTTGAACCATCTGCAGTTTGTGTAATATGGAAGCATTCAATATTTAATAAAACCCAGAGCATTTTAAAGGAGCTGTCAATAGCACAAGCAACTCTGACCAGGCTGTGTTAAACAAAGTTACACGTTTGTGTGACAAAAAACAGGAATGTTAAAAAAGCACAACAAAATTGTTTCTGCTGGGGCAATAATGCAAAATATAAACAGCAGTTATTACATGACTTTGAGCTCATCTAGGGATTTATTCTGTAAATGTATATATATTTAGAATGTATGAACATTCAACAACAACTAAATAAAAACCTCAAGCAAGTTTTTTTAAATGCATTTCGATAATGTTGTTCACATATCTTGATGCTTTCATCCAGAATTTTTATGCAATATACCAACATTTGGATAAAAATACAGAAGTTGAAACCAGTTAAAAATCTACAAAGTTACCTTGGTTTTTGAAAGTTAACAGCTTACTCAGAGTTAACTTACTTGGGTTAGTTTAACCTGCTTTCTGGAATATACATAACTTAAAAATATACACAACAGGCAGTTATATATTTTTAAGAAAACAGTGACATCTTGCATTACTTTATGATTTTAGTTTATCATTTCAATTTTCTAGGTTTGAAACTGAAGTTGAAATCACAGAAAGCCAATTTGGACCAGAACATCTCGCTGAGCAAGTCAGTTTAAGTTTAATGGCACCAAAATTGGACAGTAACTCTATTGTGGCCTTTAAGTATTGAGGTTTGTCACCATGAGAGCAATGCTAGAGAACGAACGTCAAGTATGTTGAAGGAGATCCGTTGATCAAGCTTTCACCGGAAATTGACAAAGTATTTTCTGACTTTAGAATTCATTGTAATTAATATGAAAAACTGCAGAGACTAATGTGTATCTCTTTAGGCTTTGATCAATCGCTGCACTGCCTCATATCCATCTTATTTTCCCCGTAAGAGCGGTCGCAGCCATTTGTAAATTTAATGTCTCTGGCTTATGGTCTCTTCTACGTCCAGCTATTTTTAGCTGTGCAAAACAGCTCTTTTTGCTGCTTGATATTGCAAATTGGTGTGTCTTACCAGATTAATTTAATGTATTATCTTAATTAGGAACACACTGGTTTGCAGTGCAAACAGTTTTACCATTTACTGCACTTTGTTATTCTTCTCGGTATTTCCCTACAGCATCTAACGAACGCACATTCACAGAAACCGGCTTACTTCCGCATTGAAGAATAAGGTGGATAAGAGCGCACACAACACAGTGAAGAATTCAGAAACACTTGTTCATAGTCCGTGGTTCTCGTGAAAAAAAGTTAAAAAATATTGTGAAAGATAAATTTTCCTAATTACAAACAACCCTTGAAATGTAACAATTTAAAAACATTTAAAGGGTTCATATGATGCGATTTCACAACATATTTTCATTCATTTTCTCAAAATGAATACTTCAGAAATATTACATGAACAACAGCGCTATTGTACCTAGTCACATGCGTAACGACGATCAATGAGCTGATCAAATGGTTGGCAAAATGGCCTGAATTGTTTTGTTATCTGAATTATTTATTTTTACACACTGAACTGTTTGAAGGGGTTTCTCACTCAATGAAACAAAGTGACTCTTTAGAACACAGGGAACATAAAGAGCGCTGGATGAAGTGACTGTGAACCTACAATCAAGTGAAACTAAACCTGCAAATGCATCCTATCTTTTTTTTTTTTTATCTCCGAGATAAAGAAGTTCAACATTGCACGGATGGACTAACCATATTAGTGAACCAGTGTCGGCTTTTAGTTCATAAACTGTATATATATATATATATATATATATATATATATATGTTATATGTTATATGTGTATATATATACATACACACATACATACATATACATACACACACATATATACATAAATATATGGTCTTTTTTAGTATTTAATTAAACATAATCAGTGACACTACTCTCAAAACTGAACTGTCGTGTTCACTCAACAACCAGGCTAACAACCCCAGTCATAAAACTGTATCCATAAATAAAATCTCTAGCAATCAATAACCTACCAAATCAGTTCTGGTTACACAAATGATAAGACTTCAGTCTGTAACTGAACATGTGCCACTTAAACCCATGATAAGAAAACCGTGTTTGTCCATGTTCGCTAACAAAACAAAAAAAAGTGTTAGTAACTGCATTGTTTATTTCTGTAAGGATTAGTGCTGTGTGGACTGAAAAGCTTGTATTTCTGCACAGTCATGTTTTACAGTTTACCACATTTTATTTACCACAGTTTACTGCAGTTTCTATGGTCAAGGTTGTTAAGTCTGGTTTCAGATAGCTTTAACATGGAGCTATTAAGGCTCCCATAACATAGTGTATAATAATACGGTGTCAAATTTAAATGAGCCAAATGGCTTGAGTTTATAGCTGATAGAGAGGAGTAGTTGTGCTGAATTTTCATAAACTCACCTCTTTGAGTTTGTCAGTGAGTACCCTGATTTCATCTTCATATTTGTCTTCCTTTGTGGAGTACTGGGGAATAAATAAAAAAATGAATCATTGATGCTGCAGCTATCATTGTGTGAAGATAAACTGAAAAGCAAGAGCATTTTTTGCAATCTGTGCAATAATTATGCCTTTGAAGATAAAACAAAGGATTTATTTACATACCACTCAATATTTAAAAACTCTTTACAGGCTAAATACTCACTGCAGAATACTAAAATACATATGTAAATGTATTTTAAAAAATATGAAGAAGAACATTGCATAGCATTGGCAAAAGAGAGATGGCAGTGAAGTCTATGGAGACTGGGAGTATATGAGAAAGCTATTTTACTCAACCAAGGGAACAATTCACTTTATTGGCTAATCGCACCCTGTATACAACGCTGCTTTAAGGGGAATCTCATTTTTAACTTTGGCTTAAAATTTGGATAAATGACATGTGAGATACAATCATTTGTTGTACAAAGACCAAATTACAACCACAAATACAGATAAGCCCATGTGAGAGTGAACATGGGCAGTCTGACTTGAAAATGAATAGCAGGGCATTTGGACTTTTCACTGCAAACAAACACTAGGGCTCTGCCTACCTTCTCAGCCTGTGCCTCCAGGGACTTCAAATTGTTGGTGACATTTTTCAATTCTTCCTCTAGGTCACCAGATTTGCTGTACCACAGCAAGAGATGCGGGAAAAGAAAGGGCAAAGGAAAGGAGAGAGACAGCACTTTGAGAAGACAGGAAAGGCAACGTTTTAAGCTAAAGAGACCCCAACCTGAATGGAACAATGAGGTCATTCCCCTTCATTTTGACTGAATATATGAGCCATTCAAAGTTCCAAGCACATCAGGCACTTTAAATGCCTTTACATGTTATTCACGAAACAGTTTCTTAAGAAAAGCAATGCAGAATATAACGGCACCTGAGGACTGGCTGCTTTAATAATAAACTAATAATTAATAAAAAAAAATTAATAAAAAATAATACAAATAAACTAAACAACAATAATAGAATTAAAAATAATGATAAATAAAATAAATAAAACAAAATAGTTTCCTAGGTGCTTGTTACATTACAGCAGTAATTAAAGTGTGGTATTCCCCAAGGTTCTACTTGAGGTCCCTTTTTCTTTTGCAAAAGATGCATTTATCTGCACAGGGAGAGAGCTGAGAAGAGCAGCACAGGAGGACACAGATCTCCGAAAGTGAGGACAGGTCAAGAGAAGCCGGAGTTAACGAGCTATATCAGTCTCTCGGCAGTACCTCTTCCTCTCCGGCCATCATGGATTTCATATTCTGGTCCATGAGTTTAAGTTCCTCCTCCAGCTGCCTGACTCGACTGGGTTAATCCAAAATGGGCCAGTGGGGGAAGGGGGAGGTAATGGGGAGTCACAGGATAAGGGGGATCATGCATTTTGAACACAAGGAGAATGGACAATCAGAAACCTTGCTGTTGTTAAATAATCCGGAAAACTCTTCTGTTATTTTATTAAAGGGGTGGTTCACTGTTTTTTTTCTAGGCTTGATTGTGTTTATGGGGTGCAGTCTAACAGGTGTTAATGCTTCGTTTAAAAAAAAAAAACGCATTATTTTTCACATAATTTACCTTTATTCCACACCGCTCTGTCCCTTCTCTGAGAAACACACTGATCATTTCCTGCTTTTATGAAGCCCCGCCCTCAGATACAAGCGATGGGCTTTGATTGGTTAGCTAGCCCTGTGTGTTGTGATTGGCTAAACCGCCTCTAGTGCGCGTCTAAACGTCCCGCCCCTCACCTCAGCGGCATGTGCTGCGGTTGTATTGTAAACAATGATGTCGTTAATATCGCTTATCAGTTTGAGCTCGATTGAGAAGCAGAGGATATTATTGAAGAGGATCGTGCAGAACCTGTGCAAGCACGGCTTTTAATGGTAGGCCTATGTTTTTTGTTTGTTGTTGTCTCATACTTTTAGATACGCTGTTATTTGTAAATGCTACTGCTTATGTTAGCTTTTAATATACGGTTTTATCCTGATTAAAGCTTTAATACAGTACGGCAACTGCAACCCAAATAAGAATTTTCACCGGATATTGTCATCTGAAAAAGTAAGTAACAAGTCTTCCACGTTTGTTCTGACCAACTGAGGGAAAAAGCATTACAATAAATCACGCTACCAATGGCGATTTAATCTAAAGATCGGTTAGCTCATATCACATAAAACCATTCAAATTATTATTATTGTTATACTTTGTTTTCAAATTAATAATGTTAACAACATCAGCACTGCGTGACTATGAGTATAGTGTGTATAAGCGAGTAGATTTCAATTTCTGTACAGTCTAATCTCTAATTGTCATACCATTCGAATTTCATATTAAGAAATTCTTTTAACCCAAAAAGCAAATTATGCTTCCTTCAAACTGGTTGTCTTTAAAATACAAATCTTGTGTAATCCCACATAAGATATCTGTAATCAGAAGCACATTTAAAATTGGAATATAATTTAATTTCATTCACATGTGTTTCATAAACACAATCCTTTCTGGATTACAATCCGCCATCAAAATGATACATTTAATTATTCCAGCTGCTGTGAGAAAAGGCTACAAACGATCGGCCACCTGCAAGATCCTCACATGCGATAGTCTAGTAGCCGGGACAACTTCTTTATGTTTACAGACGTGACGTAATGATGCAGCAGCATGCTCGAATTTCCCACGAAAACCTACCCGTACCACTCAAATTAGAAAACATTATTATAAGCTAACCGTTGTGAATCGGGCTAAAGTAAGGCGATAGTTTTGAACACTGGCTGGTTATGTACTTGCTCAAATATTGATTTCGGATCATTTTTAACCAAAAAAAGTTACGGACTGCAGCTTTAAAATAAAAAGCATTTGCAGCAGACAGAATCCTGGAAATAACAAGTTTTCTGAACGTAGCTTTGCAATTTGTTTTAGGTAACACAGACATGCATATTAAACTCATGTTATTCATGCAAACGTAATGCACTTTTGTTACCATCGTGTATACATATTCCACACATTGTTTCTGAGTAAATTAATACAATTAACACATTTTTGGCAAGGAGTTTGATTAAGCTCGTTCATGTTTTCATGATGTCAGTGCTAGCCTTCACTTTTAACATCCAGGAATATGCTCCCTTATTACTGAAATTAAAGTATCAGTATCAAATATCAATGACTACAGAATCCCCTGTTAACACACAAGGTTACTGATATTATTATTTATTTATGAATAAAGCAATAAAGTTCAGTCTCAACTAAACTGTTTTTAATATGCATTATATGTACTTACGCCTCAGCCACTTCAGCTCGCTCCTCAGAGCGCTCAAGCTCACCCTCAAGAATCACTAGTTTACGCGCCACCTGCAGTCAGTCAAACACACACACACACAAATAGACCCAATTTTACAATTACAGTCAAATAACAAATATCACAGATCTGTAAAGCCAAGTTACGAAGGAGGAAGTTAATCCCCAATAAACAATAATGCAGGAAAATTCAGGTTTAGGTATAGTGACACATCTTCCACACTAAAAAAAACTAAAAAATATATTTAGTGACCATTTGATCAAGGAAGCAGCATGTTTGTTCTTCAGTAGAAGTGCTTACATTGACAGAAATTGCAGCTGGATATAAAACTTGGAATATACATGCAGGGTGTCTATGATACGATCTATCAAACTTGCAAGAAATGGCCACAAGCCAATGCTGTGTATAAATGCTATGTATAAATATAAATGAATAAACATGAAACATAAGAAAACATGAATAAATGATTTCTTCTTTATTTTCAGCAAGTTTACGGGCTTACTTGGCTTTTTCTTTTGTCTGAATCCTGAGTGTTTCTGAATCTAGAAATAATAATGTTTTCCATGTTTTCCATTCAATCATTGTGAACTTTTTTGGAACTTTTATGCATGGCCATAATTCAATATTCTGTGAAAAGCATCTACTTATAAGAAGCCTCCAGTCGTTTAATAATGTGAGGCTGGCTGACATGCACACCTCCTCATATTTGCGGTCAGCCTCCTCAGCGATGTGTTTGGCCTCCTTCAGCTGCATCTCCTGGATCTCCATCTTCTCCTCATCTTTTGTTGCTCTGTTCTCTATCACCTTCATTCCTCTGTATGGAGAGACCACACGGTCAGTATTACATTCAGAAATGCCATGAACAGACAAACTCAAGTCTAAACAGGTTTAAGGGATATACTCATGAAACTCTGGACGGACGGCTGATCCTTTACAGTGTGGAAAGTTTGTCTTTCGAATGACAAAAAACTATTTGAAACTACCTAAAACTCTGGCTTTGAACAGGTATGAAAAAATACATTTCATGCTTTTTTTCTGATTACAGAAAACTAAAGGGATGTGTGTCAAATGCATAAAAAACTGCCCCGTGAACAAAGCCCAGGTGTGTAGTGTAAGTGTTAAAGAAGCTGCGGTCACACCTCTCGCTCTCATCTGCGGCTTTCTCGGCCTCCTCCAGCTTCTGTAGCGCGGTGGCGAGTCTCTCCTGGGCACGATCCAGCTCCTCCTCTACCAGCTGGATACGTCTGTTCAGGGACGCCACCTCAGCCTCGGCCTGCCATCACAGGAGAATCAGTCAATGCACACCATGCCATGGAGGACAAATGTGACCCTGGAGCACAAAACCAGTCTTAAGTCGCTGGGGCATATTTGTAGCAATAGCCAATTGTAGCAATTGTATGGGTCAAAATTATTGATTTTTCTTTTATGCCCAAAATCATTAGGATATTAAGTAAAGATCATGTTCCATGAAGATATTTTGTAAATTTCCTACCGTAAATATATCAAAACTTAATTTTGGATTAGTAATATGCATTGCTAAGAACTTAATTTGAACAACTTTAAAGACGATTTTCTCAGTATTTAGATTTTTTTTACACCCTCAGATTCCAGATTTTCAAATAGTTGTATCTCAGCCAAATATTGTCCGATCCTAACAAACCATACATCAATGGAAAGCTTATTTATTCAGCTTTCAGTTGATGTATAAATCTCTTATGACTGGTTTTGTGGTCCATGGTCTCATATACAAAATTGTACAGAAATCACACTTTAAATGAATTTAAATTAAGATGATGTATAAATCTTTTATGTGTTAAAAGTATATGTTTTAATATCTTTTGTTTTAATGTATAAAACCCTTATGACTGGTTTTGCGGTCCAGGGTCACAAATGTGATCTGGAACTTGAACTTGTTGGATAATGTGAATGCAACATGCAATGTGAAAATCTTGAGATTAATGTCCAATTAAGTGCAAAATTACATCTAGAACATCAAGATAAAGGACTTTTGACTCCAACCACACATTTTCTGTCTTCATATTGTTATGCTTTCTCAAAAGCAGATCTTTCGGGAAAAAAAAAAAAGTAGACTTTTATTGTTGCAATCAGTACAACTCTCAAATTATTTTTATTTTCCATATTTTATTGACAAAAGTTGTTTTCATATCCTAACCAGTGTTCTCCTCAGAGCAATGTGCAAATAGAAGGCTATAAAATTTACATAAAATGTATGCTATGCAGAAAATATAACATTAGTAATTTAAGCTAATATTATATAACAATGATAATAATAGCTTTTATTTTCTAATATTACACAGTATATTACGATTAGGGATATGCCGGTATCAAATTTTCATGTTGCGATTAATTGCTAATGCACGATATAACCTGCAAAAATATGATTTTCAATTAAATGTAAACATTCAACAATTGCAACTAGTATCTAGTAAGAGACTACTGTCTCTTCTGTAAATTTAACAGTGCGTCTTAAGACTTTAACAACGTCTTTAAAGATGTTAAATCTTCTTTAATATCCATTGCACAACAAAAATATCCATCATACAAGCAGAACACTGTACTAAAATACTGTTTCCCATTGTTCACCACAAAACTATTAATGAATTCACAGTGTCAAACATACAGTGAGAGCAGGATAGTCTGATGTCTGAGCAGACATTAAAACAGGTGGAAAACAGACAGTACATCACAGTACACACAACAGTGGGGCAGCAGAAGCAATAGGAATTTTCTAAAAAAAAAAAAAAAAAAAATTCTTCCTCAAAAGCCCTACAAGAACCATCGATGGAACTGTTAACCAAACAAAATTGCTACATTTATGCATTTATCCAAAGCAACTTAATTCCCATTTAAGCTATCCATTTTATTAGTTCATGCATTCACTGGCAATTATAAAGCAGAAATTCCCATCGGACACATTCTCTCCGAATGCACTGCTGGCTTTAAAGTTAAACTTTAAAAATGCAAAGTTCACTGTGTAAAGAGGGTTGAGCTCAGTATCAACTGTTTATCCAATGCTTTAATAGCTAACTACACGCTAGCAATGCTATTACTACTATGTTAACCCTTTAATGTGTCACCAAACACAGCACACAATGAACATGAATGAACGGATGATCGGTTTATCATTTTAAAGAATTCCCCCGAAACAACATGCCTGTAGCTATTAGACAATATTCCAAAAAATGGCAATTCTAATATTAATATGTTAATGTTAATAACATCTTTACAACAGAAGTTCTTCTTCATACTCTAGTAAAACGACACTGCTCAGTACAAAGGTGGCCTAATTTGTTTGTGGGTTAAAGGCATGCCAGCTTCTAAAGCTATTTTCATTGCAAGGTTAAAATGCAGGATAAAATATAAAAATAGCTAAAACAACTGAAACCTCATAAGAAGTTTAAGATGCTTTTTAATAAATCTAAAACCAAATCTGGATTTATTTTAAGTGTGTGAGCAGAATTGAAGTCTCAGCCCTCTACGGACACCTTGGCAATTGAATCGCCATTGGCTAGTAAATTTGTTTGTTTACTCGCCAGACTAATAAAAAAAATTATGGAAGTAATGGAAGATAACCATGGGAGTATCATGTCATTTTCACAACTTTCAAAACTGTTTTGGTCTAATGAAAGGGTTTTTTTTTTCAGAAAGATGTTTTGTCAGCTGAACAATTTCAGTAGAAATATCACATTCAAATAAAGTGTTGGACATAAATGACTTTATACATAGAAATATTTTTGGAAAAAACATCTGAACAAGTAATATAACTGCCACTTTTGTTCTGACCTCCATTTTTAAAGTAAATCACATTAATGACCTTTTTGTGATTGCTCAGATCAGATAAAGTCACATGCTGAAAACTATAATTAAACTTGGGTTCAGAAATGGTAAATGTTTCCAACCTCAACATTGCTTTGTGTAACTATAGCCGTAATGCTATCCTCACTTTCTAAGCAATTCCATCTCTGACTACTTTCAGATTACTCCTTACACATGAAAAATGTCATTAAAGAGAGAGCGCAGAAAAAAAATCCACCTTCCAACAACGTCTTTACTTTCACTTTGATAAAGCTAGAATACTGATTTATACTGTAGAGCTGTCAGAAGTTCAGATTTAGCAGGAAATTGCATGCACAAGTCATTTGCACATTCGTGCTGCATGTATGGTGTGGGAGTGTCATGTCATTTTCACAACTTTCAAAACTGTTTTGGTCTAATGAAAGGGTTTTTTTTTTCAGAAAGATGTTTTGTCAGCTGAACAATGGTAAGTTGTTGTCAATCCATTGAACGCACTTCTGTCACTCACCGCCTCAATGATGTAAAACTGACATTTCCCAAGAAATCTGACCTGACAGCTTAAATTATAGATCATTATTATAAGCTTACTATTGTGAATTGGGGTACAGCAAGGAAACAGTTTTGTTGTTCTTGTTCAACTATTGATTTTTGTTCATTTTTAATGAAAAAATAAATAAAAATCCCGAAGTGCACCGTTAATGTAAAGCAGGCACATATGGGAGATCAAATGGACTTGAGGGGTTGGAAAACAAACAAATTAAACTTTTCTCCAAACTTATGTTTATCTTCATGTAAACTATCAACACATCTACCGGAGGACAAGGACACAAAACGATTAACTTAGTCTGGGCCCGTGGGCTGATGACTCAAGTGTCTGCATTCAGGTGGACTAAAATCACATGATCACCTGTTTAATTGACCACTTGCATCACATATTCACAGGTCCATGTCACAGAAAGAGCTTGATTTTGAAGTGAGAGATGCTTTAAGTCGTCAACATCACCTGGCCTCAATATAACCCCTAATCCTCTTCTCAGGTCCAGCGCATTAGCTCAAGTTCATCGGACAGCTCAGGAGCTCTCACTCGCTGCTGTGCTCCACGTGTAGTAGATCACACCTGAATATTGTTTCATTCGGCACTGTTTCACCTTAAACTGATACTGATATTTGGATAACGTGTTTTTGAAGTGAACTTAATGTTTGGATTTGATTGAAAGGTTTAGTTCACCCAAAAATGAAAATTAGCCTGTGTTTTAAGCAACCTAGGTGTATATGACTTTCTTCTTTCAGACGAATCCAGTCGGAGTTATATTAAAAATTATCCATGCTCTTCCAAGCTTTAGAATGGGAGTAGGTGAGTGTTTTTGTTCAACAGTACAAAAGTAGTCAAATAAAGTGCGCGCATCCGTAATAAAAAGTGCCTCAAACGGCTCCGGGGGGTGAATAAAGGCCTCCTGCAGCAAATCCATGCATTTTTGTAAGAAAAATATCCATATTTAAAACGTTATAAACACTTTCTCACTTCTGCTGACTGTCACACGTGCAAGCCGTTCCGGCGGATGATGCAGATGAAGTCATATACACCTAGGATGCTTTGAGGGTAGGGCTGCACGATAAATTGAAATGGAATCGAGTTCGCGATTCGACAGAAGCTGCGATTGTCATGCGTATCTTTCAGTGAAGCACGGTTCTGTGATCAGCAGTAAATCTCCATCCAAAAGCCAGAGGCTATTCGCTGCAGCTGAATAAACAGAAGATTCAACTGCTTTCATTGATTCAACGTGACTAATAAACACACGACTACGGCA